CAAGGTGGCAGACTAATTGGATTCTATTTAGCAAAAAGGAACCAACGAAATTACATTGTCTTCAAAATCGTGCAAATTTTCTGGTTCTCTTAGAAACACTTAATATATGTACAGTATTAAAATTTATAGAATGGCAATCTTCTCCTTTAAAATTACCAATTTTTTTTGTAGGAAGCAAAAACTATTTACTATTCTGGTTTGTTTTATAATTACAAAAGAAGCAACATTTCTACAACACTATAATCGCGCTGGTTTCTTTTTGCTGAATGTAATTCAACTGGACATCTTGTGTAATACCATGGCCAACAATACATATATTTCTTCCTTAAATTGAAATTCTAATATTTTTCCAGATTTTTAGGACTTGACTTTCCAGGCATGCAAATAAAAGTGTTTGCTGAATATTTGGCCAATTTAAACATATTTATAGATTGTTTATAGCATTGAGTAAATATTTATTAAAAAATTGGTTGATACCTCATAAAATACAGATTTTTAAAAATTTAACGATGGAAATAGGACGAGGGAAATTTAACGATTTTAAAAAGACAACTGATATTTCAATTATTCTGTCAAAAATGTTTACTAATTTATAATATCAGTGCGATGTTTGACTTATTTGTAATCGTCAGGAGGCAAAAAGAAAGTATTACTTGCAAGTTGCAAATTATAAAAATAAATAGGGAAATTGTTCTATTCCTTCAATGACGTCATTAAGTACAAATCCTCACCTCAAAATCACCTAGCTTTTTCTCTGTAGGCCTAGACTTGCCATGAGGCCATTGAGACGGCCGGACCCGGGCTGCGGAAGGGGGGTGGGTTAGTGTGGAAAGGGGGGAGCGATTAGGATCTGAGGAAGCATGAATGGAAGACATGCCGACCGCCGCGCCGCGCTGTGAAATGGGGGGGGGGAGGGCCCGGAGCAGGAACGCGATGGACGAACGTGGAACTACGGCCTGAGGGGACCAAAGCTGTGATGCCGGCTTGCCTGGTCGTAAAATCGGATACAGTCGAGTATACATGGTTGCATACAGAGAAAAAAAGGAGGTGTTCGTATTTCGGGCATCTTGGATTTTTTTGATGACGTAGGTCGGTGCGAACGATTTTTATCATCGATTTTTATCATTTTTATCATTTTTTTTTTTTCGATTTTCTTGGAAGTGGTGTAGCTTATACTATGGAAAAAAGCCACTCTAAATAAAATGCAGTGCTGCTATTCAATTTTATCAAAAGATTCCGAAATAATTCCGATATCCGGAAGCATAATACGATTTGCCAAAGTTCCGAGAAGAATTCCGGAATGCGCCCGGATTCAGTTCCGAAGATCGTCAAATTTGAACTAAAAGTCCCTTAATTTGATCAAATAAATGGTCAAGTTGGCGAAAACCGCTAATTTTGAGGTAATTTCTCATCTAGCTGAAAATTCCGGGGATTCAGAAGATTAAGGGAAAAGTTTCGATTACTTGAAAAGTTCCGAATTCCGGAATTAATTCCAGGATATGGCAGAACTGATAAAATGTTTGAAATTATATATCATGAGTTGATTCAAGCATCAAACGGACGCTGTGATCAGTTTTTCCTATTCCAAATTCCAAATTTTTCTAGAATGTCGACTCCACATTATACCGACCTAGACGTCACTGGATTAACAATCCTCAAGATGCAAACTCCTTTTTTTCTCAATGACACGGTTGTGCTTGAATAGCTGAAGGAGCTGGAGGGAGATTGGGCTGTTCTATTTGATGCGGTGAGGCTGTAGAAGATACTGACATGATAGCGTAGAGAGCCGTAATTGTCAATTTTTTTAAATCGAGTTTCCTTCAAAATTCGTCAGAACTTGTACAAATGAAATTACTAAAATAGCTGAAACATGCAAAATTCGTCTTATTTGTATGAGAAATCCGTGAGTGCGCAAAAAATGACGTAGTTACAGACAAAACAGTTGTAGGAGGCATTATTTCACCAGCGAACCAATGAGAACAGTCCGATCAAATAAAATGCCGCGCTTTCTTACAAATTTCGAACCAGAAAATTTATTTTTTGTGTGTCCAAAACGCAACCACGAGAGCATGCATAAGATAGCACTTACGGCTATCTTGCCTAACACTAGCCGAACATATAAAAATGGAAAATTCGCTCTTCTAATAGTTGAAATAATATTCGTCGATTTATCACGCTTGGATAATTTCATTTTAATTAGTTCATTATATTATATTAAAAGATTTTTCAATCATCTTAACGATTTTTGCGAGTCTCTCGGATGATTGGTGACATTTGACAAAGAACGGGGGCCTAAAAGTATATTGCAGGAGTCTTAAAATAATGAAATGATTACCATCGATACAAGGATGCAATGAGTTTTCGGTCCACGCAGTTGCGAGCAATCAAAGATTCAGACTGAGCAGTTGAACACCATGAAATTGCAAGTTTGCAATGATTTTCACCAGTAAATAGGGCGTTCGCAGAATTTCGTTTGCAGAAAAATTAAAAGCAGTTAAATCATTTTTCTAAAAATTCAACGATTTTGCAGTAATTTTGTCAACAATGTAAAACTTAGGCAATAATTTTCTAAAGCATTCAAAACTTACACTCTTAACCCCATAGTCTCGGTTATTCAAACCGAACGTTCGGTTACAGGAGCTAAAAGTTAGGTTTGACGAACAGAATAGGTGGGATGATATAGAACACCACTTTCTCCCTCATTTCGTGGATAAGAAATTTTATCTTTTGAACGTCAAAATATTGTTGTATCTCGCGCTCCGTCGTATCAAACTTTTCTACTCCTGCGTTAAAGTCTCTGAGTCAGCCGAAAAGAGTTCACGTTCTCCTTCATACTGTGGATATGCAATCTTACCTACTTGGAAGTCGAAATAGTTGTATCACGCGTTTCGCCCTATCCAACTTTTCTACCCCGCGTTAAAATCTCTGAGTCAGCGGAAAAAAGATCAAGCAATGTTCGTTGTTTTTGACATGCGAAAAAATTTAGAACTTTCGAATTTTCGTTCTATGTTTCGAAGCTGTGTCTAAATCTGTGAGAAGAGACCTCATCTTGGGAAGAAGATTTCCGAAACTTGGAACTTTGCTCGAAAAACGATCGCGAGAAGCGCCTGCAAAACTCTAGGTGCACTTCAAGCATTGCACCATCTCGCCGAACCTGCGCGGCGGAATGCTATTTCTAGTTTTTGAGTCGCGAAACGTGCAATGTTTGAATATGTGCACGCTATTCTGCCGTGCACAGGAAAAACGCCGTATGAACCTTCATGCGTTGCCAAATTTCCTTTGATATAATGCAAACCTCCTAGTAAATTTATGAATACTTTCCTCCCAATTTTTCAGATGATGTAATGTTACTTGGATGGGCCTCTGTAGGGTGCCCTTGCTCCAAGACGAAGGGGAAGAGGATGAAAACACGAAACACAAAAATATAAGGGATGAACTCTGTACTTCAACGTGAGAAAAGTGGAGGAGCCAGCCGAGGCCTGGCCTCCAAGAGGTACAATCAAACTCTATACGCTGCTGAACTGTAACTGCTCAAAAACTAGACTAGAGTCCTGAAGAAATGATGAAGAGAAAGTCCTGATGGTTGAGGGTGACAAAGCCGGACTCCGCGCAGGGTGATTAGATAGAAAGAGCAGAGTCCGGTGATATGACGTAAGAAGAGAAAGCATGCGAATAGGTGGAATGTCCTGAGACCGGATATGAGGTATAAATGTAAGAGTGTAAGTGATGATGGAAGATAGGTATAGATAGATATAGGTATAGATAGATATAGGTATAGATAGATATAGGTATAGATAGATATAGGTATAGATAGGTATAGGTATAGATAGATATAGGCATGTTGGGGCACACAACAATGATTTAGTTCGCAATTTTAGCTAAAGATTCTGAAAATTTAAAGGAAAAATATTCATAACTTCCCTAAAGAAGAAACATGTTATCGAAGGAAATTTGGCAACTCTCGAATGTTCATACGGCGTTCTTCCTTAGCACCGGCAGTATCATTTTGTTTTGGAAATGCGTAGGGCAACACGGCTACATAACTTCGGAAGGTGCATGCCTGCAAAAATGGAGCGTACTTTGATAAAAGTGTATAAATTGTATATCATCCGTTATTCTAGGTCACGTCAACCGCAATTTTCCCTCTGCCTACGCACCACGCAGTTCGTGAACTACCGATCGGTCATTGGTTCGTAACATTCTGCACCCCTGCATTCTGCCGTGCTAAGGAAAGTGGTAAGGAAAGCTAAGTGAACCTTCGAGAGTTGCCAAATTTCCCTCGATAAACTGTTTATTTTTGAGGAAAGCTTTGGATATTTTTCCTTGAAATTTTCAGAAACTTTAAATAAAATTGCGAACAAAATTATCTGAAAAATTGGAACGGAAATGTGCACAAGTTTATCAGGAAATTTGCGTTTTATCAAAGGAAATATGGACGTATTTCTGTCAAACGGACCTAAGCGCCATAGGGTGAGGAAGGTAGAGGGGGGCTTTGATTGGCGGCGGAATCGGGCGTTCGGCTTATTCCGTCCTATACTCGCAATGCTTTTCCATGGCGCTTAGGTCCGTTTGACAGAACGCGCTATCCGGGATTCTCAATTCCTCAAAAGGAACTCAAATTGGCGCTTAGTTCCGTTTGATAGAAATATGTCCATATGACAAAGTTTAAGTTTCATACGGCGTTTTCCCTTGGCACGGCAGTGTTGAAGTCCCAAAAGTAAAAGCTTCCACCATTGCCCAGATACCAGTGGAGAGTCTCCTCTCTCTGATGGGGAACTACGAATAGTAGTGTAGGACTTGAGAACCACCCCGTACACTTGGAGCACCACGTATCCACGACCATTACCAACGGCAACTCGGCAACCGGGCGAAGGAATCAGTGGTGGCAGCGACTTCTTCAGCTCTTCACCTGTTGGCCCGGCTCACCTGGTTCGACCGCGGTCTCCGCTTCCCGAGCGACGAGCCACGACCGCTAGCTCAGTTTCTTGCGTGCCGCCGTCTCGCCCAGTCAGTGGCTCAGTTCCGCCGACTCCGCGCGCCCTAACCTCCAAACCTTAACCTTGAAACCTCCCCGAGTGCGTTGAGCTTTCGCGCTGTCTTGTGAAAAATGAACCCGTTTCGGCCTTAACACTCCCGGGTATTTGTGTTTAGTGTTCTGTGATTGTGTTCTTTTGGATACCTTTCGTCCCGGATTTTCTTAGGTAAGCTGATCAATCGAAGTATTTTGACACCCTTGCTACACTCATTGGAAAAAAAAACACATTGGATCTAGAGTCCAGACTCTTAAAAACATCGACAAGAAAAAATACTTACTCTTGATTCAATCAGATTTAAGCTTTTATCAAAAACCAAGCCTCTTAATTTGAGCGTATTTCCTTTGGATTTTAGCTGAAAGCTGATTGAATCAAGAGTCCTTTTTTTTGTCAATGTTTTCAAGAGTCTGGACTCTAGATCCAATGTTTTTTTTTTTTTTTTTTTTTTTTTTTTTTTTTCCAGTGCTGTTAAAAATCGAGGGGTGTAATTCGTTGCCGGGGTCTGTACAGCGCTCAAAAACCCCGAGTGATATGAAAGCGAAGTAAAATTAGCACCTTAAAAACGAATGGCCCTCCATAAAAAGAGTGGATTCTGCTCCGTAATCGTGTAAGTCGTTCCGTAAGGAGAATATAGATTCCGCCCCACATTCATGCAACTTGGGGATTTAGCAGGGAGCTATGTATAATCCGCTATAGGATTTTACTTCAAAATGTTGAACAGCGCATGGCTTTGATGACAGCGGTAAATTAGATTTTGAGAACAGCACGTCTGACCCCTGATCTGTCTGATCTATGTTCCGGATTTGAATCGCGGTAATGGCGAGAAAGGAGGGGTGTCTATAAGGTCTGTTTTTGGGCCCACTTTGAATCTCCTCAACGGTAGGATTATTTGCTACTTGAAGGTCTATTTTTTACGGAATGCATCTTGATTTGGACAGTTTCGGTCTCATCAGTGGCGTGGCGTGCTTTGCGATATATCGATTGATTCGCCACTCAAACCTATGAAAAAAGATCGATTATCAGGGTGTTCGCAGCGAACACCTCAGTAGTCGATTCTTTACCATAGCTTCAAATGGCGAGTTATCGATAATCGATCCTTCACGCCACGCCACTGGGTCTCAATTTGAGTGTTTTAGGTATCGGCCTAAACTTGTGTCTGAGGGCCGATTTCGGTAAACTATGCGAATTCTACGGAACTGTCGTTGAATGGCCAAAAATCGGCTGAAATCGGCCCACTTATCCATGCTAAGGCCAGTGTTTGCCCCATTAGGAGACCGGAGAGGGCCAAATTATAATCAACTCCGTAAAGTATAGACCTTTAACATGCAAAAATTCGTAGGGTTGAGAAATTTCAATTAGGGTGGGCTCTAAAACTACCCTTATCAATTCGACTCCCCTTTTCACCGAGCTGGTCGTGTAGATTTTTAGGGACAGAGTTCATTCGGCCGTAATGTCTGAAATTTTAAAAGTCGGGAAAATGAATGTGCTTTCAATGTCTGAAAACAAACTGACGTGTTAAGTATAAAAACGATGTATGAACATCCGAACCTTGCCACATACCTAGCGATAAAATTGGTCTATCCGAGGAGAGTCAAGAGTGTTTTTTATTTTTTCTTTAAATTTTCAGATGTCGTCACCTTCCAGGCAAAGTATCACAAGCACCATGCGACGTTTAACAATTTCCGCCGCCATTTTATTTTTTACAGAGAAATTGTTCAACGAAGCTGTCCGAAAATTTCATTGAATTTTCTTTGTGCTGCCGATAAAATTTAGTGAAATTTCCAAACAGATTCAACAACAATTTCTCAGTAAAGAAATAAAATGGCGGCGGAAATTTTTTAATCGTCGCATGGCGCTTGTGATACTTTGACTGGAAGGTGACGATGTAATGGGTCAAATTTCGAATAAAATCCTGTGAGAAATGGGGAAAAAACGTATTCATAGGTTCCCTGAAAAATTCGTGATTTAGCGAAGGAATTTTGACTACGTCCAAAGGCTCATACGGTTTTCTTCCTAACAGCACCGGTAGAATGCATATTTGGACTGCGAAATGACCACGGAGTAAAAAACGTCGTGCGCGGGACCTGAAGTTGAGGTCATATGGATCTCTGAAGTTTTCGGATCACGTATCCGAAAACTTGAGGTTCAGCTGCCATAGTTCGGGTCATTTTTCTGAAGTACTTCGGTATGTACCGGAGGGTTCGGGTCACACATCTGAAGTGCTCCTTTACATACCTAAGTACTTCAGATGTCTGACTCGAACTTCAACAGTTGGACCTCAAGTTCTCGGATGTTTGATCCGAAAACTTCAGAGATCCATATGTCCTCAACTTCGGGTCCGACGCACGACGTTTTTTTCTCCGTGTGGCGATACATATTGGATAATTATGTATTCTGCACAGATTTTCAGTACAAAGCAACTTCTCTGTTGCTCCGGCTGAAGTTTGAGACATGCCCATTCGCTCCAAATGACAGTGCCAAGGACGTCTTTTACGACATCATGAGCGAAGTTCAAGAAAGACGCTTTCGATGGCTGCTCACACGCGCTGCTCACGAGATGAGCCATGGAGCGCCCATCAGTGAGCTCGCAGCATGGCTCGGACTCCCGAAGGCGAACGCGCTAAAGCGGTCAGAGAAAGAGGGCAGACGCACGTAAATGAGCTCAAGAAAAACAACCATCGCACGACTCCCCGACTCGCAGACCCAAAAATTCTTCGCCGACACACAGTAGATCGAGTGAGTAGGAGAAGTCGGACAAAATTTGGAAACTTTAAAAGCTATCACTCCATTCATACAACATTTTAAAGTTTCAAAAGTGGTTCCATTCATTTCCCCGTGAAATTTTTTATTGGAAGCACCCCTTAAATCCGGATCCGAGATCTGTCACGTTACGCTAGACGTCTACCTTCATCCGCAGTCAAACTCTTCATGCACAGATAGGGAGCAAATACATTAGGAGGGTTGCCGTGGTTCCGGCCTTTGAGTCTCCTCACAAAGTAGCAACCCTACTAAATGTATTACCGCTCCCACCTGCTTGTGAGAGAAAGGCTAATTCGACTGGATTTGTGTATAGCTGTGTCAACGAATTTCAACAATCAAGCTGCAGGAACAGCACACGGAGAAAAAAAACTCGTGCGTGAGACCCGAAGTTTAGGTCATATGGATCTCTGAAGTTTTCAGATTGAGCATTTGAACACTTTAGGTCTATAATAGCTGCCGAAGTTCGGATCACACATCTGAAACTTCAGTTCTTACATCTGAAGTACTTCGGTTCTCACATCCGAAGTACTTCGGTTCTCACATCCGAAGTACTTCAGTTCTCACATCTGAAGTACTTCAGATGTGAGAACTGAAGTTTCAGATGTATGATCCGAACTTTGGCAGCTAGACTTAAAGTGTTCAGATGCTCAATCTGAAAACTTCTGAGATCCATATGACCTAAACTTCGGGTCCCACGCACGAGTTTTTTTTCTCCGTGCAAGGAGTGTATTTGTTCGAGGTAGTTTAATAAAAATACTCATCTCAATCCGCGCTGAGCAAGTCGAATAAACTTGCGCAAATAAGAAAAGAAAAGCTAAAGAATTTATAATAACTTTCGTGTAATGCGGCTTGCAAATACTCAGCTCCTCAAACGTTCCCTCGTTCGTTACACTGAAGCTGAGAAAGGTTATTTTTGGTATAAATTTCATACTCTTTAATAAGATTTCGCTATCATGATGTTGCATCAAAATAGGACAGAAAGGCGTATGCTTTCAGCTCTCGAATATTTGGCGTATATAGTTAATGACGTCAAAAATGAAAATGAAGAACGTTACCTATTTTGTAAAAAAAAAAGTTCTCCTCAATGAATTAGTTACTGTCAAGAGCGCATGTACCATACACGCCGCGTGTAGTATATTCACCGGAATCAACTTTTAAATTCAGATAAAATTAATAAACCAGAATATATCTTTTTCAATTAAAGCCAAACCAATTAATTATTTTTTGAAAATCCACGCATTTTGTAAAAAATCTTCAGTGCGTCAAAGAATTATCTTCGAAAATTGATTTATATTGCCTGCACCAAACTTATGACTGAGAAAAAAAGCTGTGTCAAATGAACCACACTACGTTTCGTATCAGCTACACAAGTCGGTTCATGAAAGGATCATGTGAACAAACTTTCGAGCCAGACCAAAGTATAAAAAAAATTGGTAATATGCCGCCATGCTCAGAAAGACCGCCGTATGAACCTTCAGACGTTGCCAAATTGTCTTTGATAAAACTCGCATTTTCTAAGCGAATCGGGAATATTTTTATTCGAATTTTTCTTTTATTCTTCATTTCTCTCTATATTCTTCTTTCTAATTTTTTAAAATTTTGTTCGCAATTGAATCTAAAACATTTGAAAATTGCAAGGAAAAAAATTCTTATCTAGCCTCAAAAATAAACTCTTTATCGAAGAAAATTTCGCAACGTTCAGATGTTCTTACGACGTCTTTCCTTAGCACGGCAGTATAAATCGAGGACGATGAATCGAAAAAACTGCACTCCAAATTACGGTACCTTCCCATCAGTGGCGAGGCGTGAATGATCAATGTTCGATATTTCCCCCATTTGAATGAATGCTAAAGAATCGATTATTCAGGTGTTCGTTGCGAACACCCTCCTGTTTATCGATCTATTTCCATAGTTTTTAACGGCAGATCAAGCGATATATCGCAAAGCACGCCACACCGCACTGCTACGCATTGTAGAACTTTTTTACTCGGTGGACTTAAAGAAAGTGTTACTTGAATTAAAGTTCTCTCTCAATCAAATTTTAATCTCGCCCTTAAGCAACACCAATGAACCCGAATGAATGGTGCTCCGTTTAGATTACTCCCATTGTTTTCAAGTTTGTTTTTCAGAGTTTTTTTTTTTTTTTTTTTTTTTTTTTTTTTTACCGGTGATAGCGATCATGCCTCACTGCCTTGACGCCATTACTGCCGTGCTAAGGAAGAACGTCGAATGAGCCTTCAGACGTTGCCAAAATTCCTTCGACAAATCACAAATCTTTGTCAATATCTTTATTCCGATTTTTCAGAGAATATTGTTCGTAATTTCATCTAAAACTTGTGAAAATCTTGAGGAGAAATATTTACAACTTTTTTCAATAATAGATATTTTCTGAGAGGAAACGTGGCAAC